AGACCAATTATCATTTTAATAATTCTCCAATGTAGCCTATCAATGTCTATGATCATTGCAGGGCATGGCTGAGACGTTGCACAGTGACGACTCGATTCATAAAAAGTTCTTTCGAGATAGAGTATTCAACGGTCATACGGACGCATGTGTTAGTATAACGTTGCCGATATCGGATTCCAGTTTGCACTGGTACATTTGTACTGTTGATATAAAAAGATTTGTTGTTCGATTATGCGATACCATACATTCAGAAGGTACAAATAAGTCGAGGATTGAACAGCCGAAGAAAGTGGTAAGAGTTATTTTGTTGGTTATGATTCATTGGTAACAGACCATATGTTCAGAAATGATAATGCTAATGTTAAATTATCCGTGACTAGATAATGCGACTGGAGGGGATTATCGCTGCGTGGGATGGGGATGGCTTCATTCATAAAAATATTGCCAACACGTACAAATATGTCATCGACCCAAATGTTCCCCAACTACGTAATGGCTACGGACATTAGTCGTTTAAAGGAACTGAAAAAACATATTATTTTGGAATCTTTTCCTATGTGTTGTACTTTTCTAAATTTTAATTGGTTATTCTTATAACTGAAAACATAAATCACCACTTACCTGTAGTCGGCGAGGCGTGAGCGTGACGGTTCAGGTTTTTCTGAAAATTTTTTACTTATAAAACTTTTCAGAGACGCAGAAACGTGCTCTGATACCAATTGTAACACCCCGCTATTTTAATACTATCGGAGTATGCATTTTTTGCAAATTTTCTGAATAATTTAATAAAATATTTATTTGCGAAAGCTGATTCGGGGTGCCACCGTGAAAATCTGACTGAAAAACCGTTAATTTTAAACTGAAAATAAAAATGGTTTTATAATATTTTAACCGACTAGTGTCGGACTAAAAATCTGAGTTTAAGTACTGAAAGTGTTAGCGGAAATATAGCGTGGCAAAAACAAGTTTATACATCACAAAACAAATGTCCTGAACAGCTCGTCAGCTCACTCTTCGTCCCCGACTCCGTGTCCTGAAAAACATGAAATATGTGGGACGTGAGCACTAAAACACTGTGCTCCGTGGAAACCCATACTAAAGTAAAACAGTGAAAATAATAACAATATCATGATCCTGGTATATATAACTGAACTGAAACTGAAACTGATAACTGATATCTGATACCGGTCTGAATAATCTGATACTGATCTCGTGATATAAATCACGTAACTGATAACTGAACATCTGCCGGCACAAACTAATACCGGACACCATGTGCACACTCTAGTGGGCAGATTAGGGCCACTAGAACCCAGAATGGACCGGTCTCTATGTGTGTATTCATATGTTATGTCATTCCACTCCACCTACAAATTTAATTTGGCGTTAAAGAGGTAATGACACTGTCATTCGCAAGTGTTGTTTAATTTGCACATTACAATAATTAATTTATTTTTATTTATTTATTTATTTATTTAAAAAAGGATGAATCTATTGAAGCAAGGAAGAGGTTGGCTGCCACTCTTTACACAGCCAAATACAACCAAATTGAAGTAGGGTACGTAACACGTTTTCTGAACAATTTACTATTTCTTTAAATTGTTATGAATCAATATTTTAATGTTGAAACATGTTGTATGCATGCATGTATTTTCGTAGGGCTATGGTTGGGTTCTTCATTTATTGTCGGTATTCAGGCTGTGAAATCTGCGATTTCGGTCATGACTATGACTCGAAGACAGTAACTATGGAAAACCTCGAAGAATTATTGTTTGTTGAGTATCAGAAACCGTTCGAAGAGGCTGAGGCTCTTTACTATGGTTGTGAACCTGATGAATTATCTTTATCTTATGATATTCCAATTAGGACGAGTGAGCAATTATGAAGATATGTAGCGAGTTACGTGTCCATTGGTCGGACGATTTTTGATCTCAAACTTGACTGGGTGTGACCAATGTGATATTATAATATAGCAGCCTCGTAGTTGTCTGCTA